TCTATAAGCTTTCCTGTTAAAGGTGAAGGATTTGGATTGCTCAGACAATTAAGAGCCCATTTTACCAAGTGTAATTTCATATCTGCGTTCTATAAACTGGAGTGCCTTCAGCATTGTAAATAATAAAAATTGCCCTCTATTAGCATGTTTGTGGGCAGATTAAAAACAGTCTTCATTAGCATAAGTAACACTTACAGATTCTTTTAAAAGTAGAAAATTATTTGTTGAATGATAAATTGCTAGCTTTCTAGTTAGTTGCTGAAAATGTGCTCATTCAAAATGCCTACTTTAGTTTAGTCTACAATTCTCAATTTTTTTACTTAGAAGTACTGTTTAATGGATTATGTACTTAGTCTTTGTTCACGGTAGATGCTGAAATGCAATTCACACTTTCTGCTAAAATGTTGGTATCAAATACCTCCCTATTTAGATTGATTTCTTTTAACACCATATATTTTTATTATACTATATGCCTCAGAGAATGATACAAAATAATCTTAAATATACTATAACCAAAAAATCCTGAGCATGTCTTAGCATTGATACTCTAAAATATTTTCCCTTTTTAGATTTAAGCTACAGCCTTTCTAAAAAATGCTGAAGTCGTTGTTATTCTGTAAGAAATATTCATAATTCGGCAAATTATTATCAACGTAACAAATTAACCAAACAAGTTCAATTGCTTGACCTTGTAGCCTTCCCTTCTCAGACTAGATGTGTTTGTTGCTGATTTGGAAAGCATTGGCCAGAGAACATTTTTCATTATTGTAATGCTATCCTCTTTGATGTAATTAGGGCAGATATTTACACCTTAGGTGTAGATTTCTTTTCAATAATAAAGAATGGAAGAATATTTTATTAGAAATTCCATGTGAAAGAGCAGAAGATTTTTTTAAAGCACAGCAGAGGTCTGACTGAAAAGAATAGAATTTAGATACATGGATAAAATGCATGGACGCTTTCTTTAAAATAAGCATGCTCATGGGTATTGCAGAGCCCAAGTTTTGGCAGTTATCCTCTTTGCGCTTTTCCTGCAATAGTTTGGCAGTTCAGCTTTCACAGGTTTTTTTCCTTTAATGTCTTGTTTTTCTTTACTAAATCCCTATCAGAAAACCAGACAGAAGACTCTTATTTATTTTAAATATCTTAGGTTTAGCATCTTTTTTTTTTCACCATTTTCTTGCTTACTGTAGCAAGACCTTTGCAGATGGTACTTGGTTACTTGAAAGTGCATAACAGTATTTTCTTTGTAGCAGATGGATTTAAGACTTTTAGTTCCCAATAAATGTAGGTTTACAATACATAACTTTACAGGATTTGTGTTGTATATAACAGGTTTGAACATATTATCTCAGAATTCATCTGCATGGCATTTTCAGCTTATCCAGGGCCCATGCCAGTATTTTAAGTAATAGGGAGAGCATAGTGATTGATAGCAGCTAAAGGCGTGATTTTGAATAGAAACAAAGGTTTTAGAACAGAAGGTGTCAAATTAAACTTTGTCAGTTTGAAAAGTAGTAACATCCTGAAAGTTCTCCAAACATATTTACATGTGGCTAATGTTTATATTTTGCTTTGTACTCTCTTTATATTCAGTGTAATGTTGCCTGGCAAATTTACTCTGTTTTAAAATCAAGGTTGTTCCCAATGTCATTGCAGAGTTTTTGGGGGGTTTGCCTTTCTGCATAAATGCATCAACCTCATTATTTTAATACTGTTTTCTTAACAATGTACTCTATATGCTGCATAACCGGTTGTGATCTAATCTGATTTATAAATATTTCCTTATTATTTTGTGGTCATTTCCACTTCCTGTAAAACTATAAAGACAAGGAAAAAAGGAAACTAGGCAGAAATTGCTCTAGACTTAAAAAAGTATGAAAGGAGAAAAACCAGCCCTGTTACATTTGCTTGTAGATTCAGCTGCATTATGTGCAGCACTTCATTCCTTTTTAGATCAAATAGAAACAAAATTTATAAATTTTACAGAACTTAAAATTAACTGTTAGAAAAGTCTGGATTATTGTTTTTCCTAAATTTTGTGAAAACATTTCATGCTTTTTCATATAGGTGACTTTTATGAATGAGCTTTATTTCATGTACAGAATTTTTAACCAGAAGCTAAATGAAATACTTTTATTTTGAATTGTCTTGAACCAAAAGAAAGCATATTGGGATAAAGTTCTTACTCTCTTAACAAACTAAGCCCCTACAGCCTCTCTTGCTGTCTGTCCACTATCTCATCTGAGAACATTGGTGAGATCAGGTTTCATAAATATATACAGAAATAAACCAAAACTATGAATGACCAAAAAATTGTTTCTATCTTGTAACTGTAAAATAATTCAGTTGTTTGTTTCCATGTTTTCCATCAAATGTTTCATCAGAGTGTGTCTACTTCTTTAAAAATGTGCCAAGTCAATAGAGTCGTTTTGGTAGAACAGTAATCTTTTCTGTGTACCCTGTCAGAAGTATCTGTCTTCATTATCTCAAAATCCCTGAAAGGCTAGCAGAGACATGTTTCAGGTTACAATTCATCAAATAATTTTAGATAAGGCATTAGAAGTATTGTTTCAGTGCAAAAATTGAGAGAAAAACGTTGTAAATACAATGTTAGCTATCAGTAGTTAATAAAAATAAGGTCTGACCTAGTCAATACAGAAACAGAAAAGACAGTAAGGGCAGAAGGTATTTCTTAGTTAACAAAAACTGTTGCAAATATGTTTAATCAACAGAAAATGTTATTTCCTAGGAATTTTTTTTTTCTACTTGATATTTTTTAGTTATAAAGGTTTTCTACTGCCTTTTCAAGAAAAAACAAACCCTGTGATTCCCATGGTCAGCAGACAAAACATGTGCAGCTTCTAAATGCATGGTGCAACTTCTTTTCCAGCCTGTGCGTGTGCCTTGGAGAGGTATCGGGGTGAAGATAGGTTGTCTTGTCTTTTTTTTTTACGTCCACCAAACTATCATGATAGACAGCTCTGCTCTTTGTTTCACCACTTTAGAAAGAAAACCAACACTTTCAGTGTAAAGCAGTGCAGATTCCAGACAACCAAAGGACAATTTTTACACTTTAGCACGGGATGGTTTGTGGCTTTGGGGTTCTTTAATTAAGAATTTTGTAACTGCTCTTCAGTTAAATTATCTAGATTGGTTTATCTTCATCATAATTTCTCCTCCATCCCCAAGAAGCTGCCTCTGCTTTCTGAGTGCACCACTTTTAACTTACTGCAATAAATGAACACTGCTGTTGAGCATCATCCAGCACTCAGTATCCCCGTGGATGCAAGGTGAGCAGAGAGCCATAAGCAACACCTTGTTTTTGTTAGGGGCAGGGACAGCTCGCCCTACTAATACATTCCAGTGAGATTCCAGAGACCCTTGCTGCTGTTTTGAAAACATGCCATACAATTCCAGCCAGGACAGGCTGGGTGTTGTGTGCTCTGTGTGAAGGCATTTGGCCACATTTCCAAGTCATGTTGCTAAACCCTGGGGCAATACCCATCATCCCCACTTAGTGCATGGTCAAGGAATGGGGTGTGCTCCATCCCCAGGGTGTAGGGGAGCCCTGCTGCTGCCCCTGCTCTCCCCTGTCTCAGCTCCCTCCCTTGCACACCTCATGAGCACCTGGCAGATTTTGGCCCCATTTAAATTTTTGCTTTTTCAGCTCTGCTACCACCATCTCTATAACATTTGTCATTTTGATAGTTTCTTGGGGGCATTTTCTTCTGTGTCATTTGTTCAGTTTTTCACTTATATCCAAGCAAATATACTTCCAATTTTTATACACACTTCACTAAATATTTTCATCTACAATATGAATGCATTAACATTATTTGTATACTTTTACTCTTCCTGTTGTGGCAATATTTTTACACTGCATTTATTAACTATTAGCTAAAGATATGAGTATCTTCAAGAAAATACATATCCATATTGTATCTATGAGTCTATTGTATGTGTTAGTGAACCAGTCTGGATAAACCATTAATCCACTACTGGTACATGTAAAAAGGATCTAAAAGCTTCTGTACATTTATATTATTTGTTGATTCAATAAAATGTCGCATTATCTTTCCTACCATATTAAGAAATAAAACTGCATGGACCTATTTTGAAAACAGATCCTTGAAGCTAAAATAAAGGAAATATGCATGTTTTATAGATGTAATATTTTGTTCCTAAATTTTAATATATTAGAAAATTTCTGCTGATGTACACTGTCCTAGCTAGAGGGTTTGCATTCCTCTGTTAGAACTACCAGTGCACAGTTGAGAAAAAAATCCTCAATTAAATTTTAAGATGTAAAGAAACATTAAATTTTCCTGATGAACTCATACATCTCTTTTGGAAGCAAATTAGCAACTGCTTCAGTTCTTGCAGAGGATTCTGTAGCCACCTTCATATTATGTACCCCAAAGACTCATAGGCACATTGCTGTCCTTGACATGGAAATGTATAAAGGGTGTATCAGAAGCTAGAGCACATCTTCCTTCCCCCCAACCCCTAATAATCCTGTACATAAAACTGAGATTGGTTTATTTCTGGGTCTATGAGGACAATCTGGAAACAGTTATGTATCACTTGAAATAAGTTCACCTGCAGAGAAACCTCTACTTGTAGGAGAAATTAAGAAGTTATTGCTTGGCTGCATCTAGTCATAGGATTCCTGTCTTTTGAAGAGATATTAGGGAGTTCCTGTACTGCTGTGATTTACGTTAGGCAGCCCTACAGTCAAGCAAACAAATAGCAGCACTGTGGTGTGAGACCAAGGGGAAGATTCTTTCCAAAATGCCTGTGGTTGGTAAGGGTCTGTGGAAGGGATGGGCATTGGTGCATTGGTGTTTGCTTTAAGTCCAGTCTGTGCAGAGAAAGCCCTTTTGATCAGGTGAGAGGATGAGAGAATGCAGCGCCTCTAAAGTACATATTTCGCCCTCATTTTGCCTCTTGCAGTGTGACTAAAAAATACCTAATGTGTTGCTGGTTTTGTCTTCAAGGGGTGGCTCTGTGAGCTGTTACGTTGGAAAGAAGATCCATCACCAGAAAACAGGACCCTCTGGGAGAATCTCTCCATGATCCGAAGGTTCCTCAGTCTTCCTCAGCCTGAACGCGATGCCATTTATGAACAAGAAAGCAATGCAGTTCATCACCATGGTGACAGGCCTTCCCACATTATCCATGTGCCAGCAGAACAGATTCAGGTTAGTTTACCTTGGCCAATCCCGCAGAGCACTAAGTAAATAAAGCTTTAAACGGAGCGAAGGAAATTAGTGTTTCTTCCCTCCTGGTCAGGCTAAATGCAGGTCTCCCGGTGCAAGATAAGAGCGCGCTGCCATCACCACCGCAGTTCAAAGGAGACCGTGCGACCACCCGCAGTTCCTGCTTCGGTTCGCTGCTTGTTTGCTAATGTGTGTGGTGGTAGCGCAGAGGCAGCTCCGCGCGGGGCAGGGCGAGCCCCGTGCTGGCTGTGCCTGGCTGGACAGGCACCAGCGCCAAAAGGCAGGGGTGTGTGGCACCGGTCAAAGGTCTTCCTTCCCAGCAGATCAGGAGGATCTTGCTGTGCTCCTGTTTGAAAACCAAGCAAGATCCCTCAGCAGTGGTAGCTCGTCCTGGGTAGGAGTGAAGGGAAGGGGATTTCTCATCCCACTTGAACCCCAGCTGAGACTGGGGTGAGTCAATATTTGTTTGTTTTTCCTTCAGAGCCCCTCTCCCACCACCCTTGGGAAAGGAGAGCATAGAGGCGCTTTCCTACCAGGCCTGCTGACCGCTGGACCTTGGCTGGGTGCTGCTCCGCAGGTGAGCCGGCACAAGGGCACCATGTCAGGGAGAGACAGGAGGGCATGCAAGACCCACACCATGAGGCTTGGAAGAGCTGCCCTCTGCTTCAGGGCAGCCCCAGCGGGCCTCCTGCAGGAGCTGCACACACCCTTTTTTGCTGGCACAGGTGCTGCCAGCCGGGAGCGGAGCTGGCTGTTGTGCTAAGCTGTGTAGCCCAGGTTGTCAGTGGGGACTGCTGTCTCTCTGAGCTGGGGACTCTTTAATCACTTCTCACAAAAGGCCTGAGGTCACCCTTGTAACTGCTCCTTCTTAAAGGGCAGATATTACCCCACGTTTTTCCAGCCTCAGCTGAGACCCTGTGTATCACTTGTATTACCTATACAGAAAAATATTTACAAAGCTAGGAAGGATAGAGTTATCTCGCAGCCAGAAACAACACGAGTGTATATTAAAGATAAAGCAAACTGAATAAGACAATCCCTTAGGATATCAAGTACTAAAATAATTGTGAAAGCCTGGAAACTTGCTGTTTGATTTAGCAAAAAGAGAGAGAAAGATCTATATTAAGTAATAAAACAGCACTTGTTTGAAAATGTACATTGTTTTTAATAAAATCGCTTCTTAAGGGGATAAAAGGAGAAGCTTACGCACAGTATAAACATTCAACCACTATGCCACTTACTTAGATTTTCTTGCCTTGTTGATAAAAGTTGTGTGTTTGATCTCATAAATATTATTCACATAAGCAGTTGCATTGTAATCTCTTAATATGACTTGTAAGAGTAAGGATTGGGAGTTTGGGCCTGAGTTTTGTCTCTGCTGTTCTACATGGTAATTGTTGTAGATGCATAAATATGTAGCTCAGACTCAAGTTTTCAAACTGTATATATAAAGCCTCCAGTCTTATAAGTATTTAATGTGGTGGGAGTAGTCTTGAATCTCTTCAGGACAGGAGCCTTGAATGGGACTGCTCACAGACCATAAAACATGGAAAGACCTGAACAGGGATGAGGAAGGAGCCCCTATTCCAGGGCATTTGTGTCAGATCTTAAAATATGAAGATTACTTAAAGCAGTGGCTTCTAAACCAGTTGCGGATATTTGTGTGAAGTCTCCACAACCACAAGAGTCCCTATGAAGTGGACAGAATTACAATCCCTCCAGTATTTGTACCATTTGTACAGGATTTTGTGCTTCTTAGGGTCTCAAAGAACTGCTACTAGAAGCCTGGAAGCCACTACCAAAACACAAACATTGTTGAAGGGAGACTCTCAAAGGGAAATAAAAAGCAGTGATAGCAACTGCTTGTTTTGCTGTGGTTGTTTTTTAATAATAACTGGTGGTTTGTACCATATGACAAGAAATTTGCTGATCCAAAATATCTTACTAACCAGTGCTTCCTGTGCTGTGCAGCAAAATAATTGTCAACACAAACAGTAGCTGATAAATTTACTTTTGATTGTAAACATGATCTTATAGTGTACTGTACTCTGGTGGTAGATGAGAAAAACATTTCTATCCCTAGGGCTCGGTGCCTCACCTTTTAAGAATGTTTCTGAATCCATGCTTGCAAAACTTCATTTTAAGCTCTTGTTAATTATTTACATCATGACTTGCTTTATCTTATTCTTCTGATGTGCATATTGGCTCATTTTTATTGCCTGAGTTTTTGGAATGCAGCATGTTCCCTTCTAATAATAATAGTGCAACTTATTTAGAGCTTTGCATCTTAGTGCTTTATAAATATTAACTAAATAATCCCCAGCACAAACACAGAGGCAGGTAAATAGGTCTGTTCCCTGTTTATTTGTTAGGATACAGGCAGTGCAGGCCTGCTCAGAAAGTACAGGCAGAAGAGGTCAGATCCAGAAGGAGAAACAGATTTCCTACCTCCAGATCCCTTTGTCCTTGCTGAGGCTGGGTTTGACAGCGCCACGTTAGGCACTTCCAGCCAGCATATTCTGTTGTAATATTTGCAAGTTTGACAAGACTTCAGTGCATGCTGAGGTCAGATCAGCAGTGAGATATTTCTGTACTTAAAGAGATAAAATGCTCCCCTTCCCCCTGACTCCCCAGCCCGTTCGTCTAGCTATTGCTAGAGAGTTGCAGCCCTTGTTTTTGGGCAGCAGCTGCCGTTGCTGGCAGAGCTCCGGCACGTTTGCCCTCATCTGGCACTTTTCTCACTTTGCCCTTGCTACAGTTCTGGCTAAGCTGGTCAAGTTAATCCTATACTATGTCATTTAGCATTTTGTCTTGTCTGCAGTTGACTCATGGAGCATGTTCATTAAAATTTGTCAGCTAAACCGCACCGATGTTGTGTTGTCGGTACTTTTGGTCTGGCAAAGCTACGGTGTTCTTTTTGTTCTTTCTTTCTTTTCCCTTCCTTTTTTTTTCTTTAAACTTACTAAGCCTTTGTTTCTAGCTCTGCAATTTCTTCCCCCTACTCCCTCCTCAGGATTTTCTCAGTAACAAAATATGAGCAAGAATACATGTACAAAAAAATGCTGTTCTTTGTCTTGCAGCAGCAGCAGCAGCAACAGCAACAACAGCAGCAGCAACAGCAACAACAACCAGGTCCCAGACTACCCCCAAGGCAACCGACAGTAGCATCACCAGCTGAATCTGAGGATGAAAATCGTCAGAAACCCCGACCGCGAACAAAGATTTCTGTTGAGGCCCTAGGGATCCTACAGAGTTTCATACAAGATGTAGGCCTGTATCCAGATGAAGAAGCAATCCAGACTCTCTCCGCTCAGCTTGACCTGCCCAAGTACACCATTATCAAGTTCTTTCAGAACCAGCGATATTATCTCAAGCACCATGGGAAGCTGAAGGACAATTCTGGTTTGGAGGTGGATGTTGCAGAATACAAGGAAGAAGAGCTGCTCAAGGATTTAGAAGACAGCATCCAAGACAAAAATGCAAACACGCTTTTTTCAGTTAAACTAGAAGAAGAATTATCAGTAGAAGGGAACACAGAGATTAATGCTGAATTGAAAGACTGATCTAAAAGTATTATTTTCTTTCAACAGTGCCGCTGGTATTTACTAATGAAATGAAAATTCCATCTTGTATTGTGTCAAAAACCCTTATTATTCATTGTTTGGCCAATGAATCTTCCAAAACTTGCACAAAAGTTGAAAAAAAGGATAATGCAGACTGCACTAGATGTTTTACTCTATTTTACAAACTGCTTCGCAGCAACAGATGAAGCGTTGAGGATTGTTTGATATTAATTTGTGTTCACTGGATACACTGTGAGTGTACCCAATAAGCATGATACCAGTGATTTTGATTCTGGAGCCTTCAGACAAGCATTACAACTTTTGTGATTTACTGTTTTTCGTTTCTGTTTTGTTCTTGTTTTTTAATTATTACTGTAGCACTCCACACTTGATCTTTGAAAAATCACATTTATTTAAAAAAATAAAATAAAAAGAGTTTGTAACTCTTGTTCTATTGTATGTTACAAAAGAACTATAGACTGTGGAATGCAGTTTAAAGATAACATATGCCAACAAATGCCTTGTATTATATGGCACTGCCGTAATTCAGATTTGTTTTCTTTTGGAAATAAAGGTCACTGTATTTTTTTTTTCCATTCTCATTGTTACATGGTTTTAGAGAAAATGAAAAAGAAAATGTGAAACACGATTTAGTCCTCATTATTTATTTGTAGATCCTGCAGCATCATGTTGTAATTAATTTTTTTGGAAGTTTCCGTTAAATGTAATATTGCTTCTCTTGTTACCATACTGATTTTTTTTTCTATTTATAAATGTATTTTGATGGGCAGTAAAACAAAGTGTCTTAAAAGTTTTAAATAGAGAAAATGTGCTTTACACAGTTGCCTATAAAAAGTGCTCTATGTTATCCAAGCAATTCATACTATAAGCTTCACTCTTATTGTTGTATGCAATTTTTACTATCATGCAAATAAGCTTAGGTAAATAAAACTAATAGATCACCTTAGAAACTTATGCAATTAATGTGAAAATAATTGATGTTTGCAATGTGTCTTCCTTTGGTTTACAATCAATTTTAAAGCTACAGCTGTATAAATTTTCTGTATAAAGGTGTATTTCTTTTTTATGAGTTTATTGCTATGAAAACACCAGTTATTTTGTTACAGCTGGCTGTTTTTATAAGTGTATCACAATTTTCTTTATGCAGAAATGTTCTGACTAGGAGTGGTTATTGACTGTAACTACACAATTAAAATTGTTTGTATGGTATGATATGGCAGGGTTTGTCTGTGTATGTGTATATCTGGGAGGAATAACTTGTTCTTAGTGCACATCATACCTTCTTGCCACCACTTTGTTCTCCTTTAAAATCACAGGCAGATTTTTTTTAATGACCTTCTTAAAATTTGAATTTAGATAACATACTTCAAAAAGAAACACAGTTTGGTTATGAAAATCATAACCTGTCTTTTCTTGGTTTAAAAACTTGCCTGCCCAACAGAGATAGCAGGATATTATTGAGTCAGAAGGCTATCAGGCATAAACATATTTACAGTTCCTGGCAGTAATGCACTTATAATGGATACAGCTGGTTTTATTTTACACTAGAATTATGCTAACACTGTTCCTTGCACTAATGTATAAACATTAAAAAAAACCATTAATAGTCATAAAATAAATAGGAAAGATGGGCTTTGCCCATAGCAGTCTCCTTCTAAGCAAGATTATTTTTAATGATCACTAATAAGGTTCTTGATAAAGCCGTAACAATTGGTGACCTCTGAATTTATGCAAGGCTCATGTCTAGGCTGAAGAGCAGTCTGCAGCTACAAGTTATAGAGTACACAATGTTGTTCTCCTAGGAGAGAAATAACTCACACGTGGTGTAACTCGGGATGGGGATTCAGTTCAGTTCTTCCTGAAATGACTAAAAGTTTACAAAACTCAACATGAATTTCAAAGGCACAAATTACTCTTAGCAAAAGTCTTGGTTTAGTTCCATTAAGTTCATAAGGAAAGTTAAAACTGCTGGAGGCTGTCCTTTGTCGCAATGTCCTTTGTGGGTCCATTGAGCAGCTCTCAGCTGCGGCACCTCTTGGCTTCTTCCAGGACTGTGTTGGGGCTACACTATGGTTTGGGCTTGGGATCCAGTCCAGTTGAAAGAAAAAGCCTTAGTACCACTCTGGAAGGGAAATAAGCCTTAGGAGGGACACATCTATGTAATTTGGCATTGCATTCCAATAAAAAGGCAGTAAAACTATGTTCTCGCTTAAGGGACTTGTAGTAGCTATAAAACTATCGATAGCCCAAAGCTATGCTGGTCACTAATAGGGGAAAATAAGCCTAGTCTAGGGAAGTGACTGTGATAATGATTGTATTTCTTCCCTGATTTCAATGGCATTGTTGCTGTGTACAGCCATGCAGATGGAGCTAGGACTGACCCCTGTACACAGCTGAGGGGCAGAGCATGTAGCCCAGGCAATGCAAGCTGATTTGGTGGGCAGGAACATACTGCTGGCACCCTTGGGTACACTCTATAACTAATAATGTGTGCAGATACAAGGCAGAAGGGGAAGGGAAGACTTGAATGTACCTCTCTCCACACTAAACGCTAGTACACACAGCACTCCAAATACCAGAAGGAGGGCAACCCTACAAAAGCATAAGAAGAAATGTTTAGTCTTTGCTATTTTGCAAGCAATTTCCTTTTCTTTTATCATTTTAAGTTTTATGGGTGCTGAAGTAGAGGCCATGTGTGCTTGCAGATGGTTATTATAGCTGTTTCTTTTCCATTATCTTCGTTGTTCTTTCTCCTGCTGTAGCTGAGGTTATCTTCCAAATGGTTCAGCCTCTGTAGTCACACATTACCTGCACAGGAGTTCGAATCATTGCCTTTTTGTGTCCCAGTGGGTGGGCTGCAAGTACAGTCTTTTAACTTGACCCATGTGACCAAAGCATTTTTGTTAAATATTTGGCAGTGTTTTCAAAGGTGATATGGGTATTAATGAGTCCAGCTTTCTGTGAATGCAAGAGCTTTGTACTGTTAGGAATTCAGCTACAGCAAGCATATGCCACCTTGACTCATAGGCCAGCTAGACTACCTAGAAAATTACCTTATGTCCTTTTCTGTTCCTTAAGTTCCTTTTTCTCACCATCTGGTGAAAACACAAAAAAAGCCCAAAAACAAACAAACAAAAAACCCCAAATGAACAAACACACCTTTCGACTTCAGCAAAGATTAAGAAATCAGACTGGAATTCTGTAATGAAGCACAAAAATTGAGACATAAACCCACTATTAGATAGGAAGTTGTTAGTAAAACTCACTGAGTGAGACTTCTCTAAATGTATGAAATGAGTATATACTCATATATACATATATCTAATATGTAATATTATATACTACATGTATACTTAGGGAAGAATGGGGAAGGAATATTACTAAGAATAGACTTTAAGCTGCACAGAAAGCCAAATGCCTAAAAAAGAGGGAACTGAATGCTGGGAGGGGATGGCGGGAGTTAGTTTTTACTATAAAACTGAAGTTAAGTATTTACCATGTTTTATGTAATGGCGTTTACCACAAAAAGTGGAGTATTTTTACTCTCTAATGATTCCCATTATTCTATATTGAACTGACAAGATTTATGTGTATATGCTATAATCCCCAGTGTGTGTTTTTCCACCCTGAAAGAAACCCAAATAGGCCCCAGATTCCAAAAAGTCCATGACTTGGGGACAGTCTCAAGCCCCAGTCACATCTGCAAGTTGCTTATAATTATAAAGACTCACTACCCAACAATGCAGGGGTTTAGATTTTGTGTTTTGTATAACTACTTAAATTGGTAAGATGACCCAGCAAAAACTGTCGATGTATAAAAGCAAATTATTGCACTCAATTTTTTTCTTTAGTTGGGAAGGTGCAGCAAATGGAGAAAGCAAAAGGTTCCTCCAAACTGGTGATTTTGTTGCAATGATTTACAAAGTCAGTACTTTGATTGTGTGCTGGGAAAGCACCAAATATTACAAGTTCATTTGACAAAGCAAATACTCCATATGTTAAGAGCACTGTAAATGAGATATTATAGAGGCTCTACTAGAACATCAAGTATTACCAATTCTGCTTAACTTATTGAACTTGTGCTTTGAAGTCAGGTACATTGCAGAGACCAAAGGTATTTTGATTTTTACATAATGATTTATATTGTGCTTTGAATAACAGTCCCATAGCAAAGCAGGGATATAAATATACTCCCAGGCCTTTTTTTGCACACAGAGGTAATTTAGGTTGGTCTCCTCACAGTGCCTTGCGTCCACACACTCTTTTACTACAACAAATGAGCTAATAATTCAAACTGCAATAAGTGATCCTCCTTGGAGCAGGAGTAGTGCTACTTGGCAGTGAGTTTGTTTGCTTTCAGGTTCATACGGGAGCCTTCCTGCCGCTGTGCTGCTGGCAGCCCTCCCACTATCTCAAACTGCATTGTTTCGTTTTGGCCTGACCCAGGCACTCTTCCTGCTCCAGGTCGTCTTGGCCAAATGTCCTCTCTCCTGCTTATAGGCCGTTACTCAGGTGTATGTGCCACGGTTTAATATGAGGCAGCAAGGACTGTATGTGTCTGATGTCACCTACTCTTTGTCATCACCATTCATGCCATGAGCCCTGCAGAGTTGCTTGAATAAGCCACTTGCACTGGAAAGAGAGTGATGTCTGGAGCAAACTCACCAGGAGACAGGTTGCTTGTGAGCTGATGGAGTAGAGGGGGCAAGGGGACGTGCATTCCACAGGGGAGAAAAGAAGGTGCCAGAGAAAGATGAAAGAATCAGAAAGGTCACAATAGCTACCTTTGCGTGTGCAATTGAGCTTTTTTACAAGGCGTGCTGCGGCAAAACTCAAAATACTACAGTGCACTTTCAATCTCTGTGGAAAAGACACAATTGTCTCCAATTGAGGGATTTTCCCTGTCAGACAATATCTAGTTTAATACAAAAACCTTCTCAGCTGTCCATGGCTGAAGAGGTCCCCTATCAGTTTGTCCTATGGTACCATCCCTGTACATAAGGATTCTTTCTGCCAGCTGCCGATATGTTACCATGGCAGTTGCAGCTGGGACTCTTGTTCTAGGTTACTTGCTTACCCATACAATGTGCTAAAGTAGCATCCAGGCTGTAAACCCTCTCATTTTCTTCCAGGATCACATCCAAACGCAAGCAGTGCGCTTCCAGGCTCAAACCCACTTTTTGGAGTTGTCTCCTACAGTGCTCCTTCTCCTCAGACCAGATGTGCCACAGCAAAAGTGTTGCATAGCTCAGATGTTTATCATAGTGCAAGAGAACAGAAAAAAACATGACTTTTGTGGGTGCAGAGATGTATAAAGCACACACAGGTCAGAAGTCTTGGAGCAAGTAAAATGCCCCAAGAGGCTTCAGAGAGAGATTTCATACTGCTGTAGTTGTCTCAAAACATCAGTTGCAATGATGGGGCCAGAAAATTTCATGTACAATCCCACTATATTTGCAGAAGACCTTCTGCCAGAACAGAATTTGAAACAAATGGCACCCTGTTTTGTTATTTGCATTACAAAATAAACATTCTCTGCTGTATGAACCTTGTTGCCCTTCCACATCTATGCTAAAGCAGGACCCTGTCCTGACAAGAGCAGCACTGCCTCAGCTGTTTGTCCCTCATGTGTGCCCCATCTTCAGGGCGTTCCCCTGAACGTGGCATGCCCCAAAACAGCTTCACTCATCTTCACTCTCCCATCATCAGCCATGGCCTTTCACCGGCAGTGAACATATTCACCTGGGGGAAGCAATTAAAAAAACCCAACAAACTTACCTTACAGCAAACCAGGGAAGGGGAAGGTGAACTGGCCTGTCTTTTCACAAAGGAGAAATGATTCTTTATCATTAACAGCATGCAAAATAAGCAGAGGTGTTGTTGTTGGCTTGCCTTAGTAGGAAAAATGCTATATCCCCAACTTAGTAAGGGTTTAATATCAGCTGGAAGAAGAGTAAAGGAGACAGAAAACAAGGAAAAGGGAGTGAGAAGAAATATCTAAATAAAGTCTTATTGGGGGCAGTCATGACTAGAGATGGCTGGAGAACTACAGGACTAGTTTAAATTAAAGGAAATCCAAGTTAGCCAAAAGAAAAACTAAGTGAGGACCACTTCGTTGTTCACATACTGGATGTCCTGTGAAAATGGGGAAAGATTGAACACAGAGTTGTTTCAGAGGAAATATTGAGTAGGAAAGGCTTCTAAAAAGGCA